TGTCAGCCAGACTACTGAGGAGAGAATCCACAAAATAATTGGATAGCAGCCAGGCTGGCAGATTTAGTATTTAACTTTCAAGACAGTCAAAATTAGATTTTCTACTACTTTCTGCGTCTAATAGAGCAAAGTACTAAAGTGGAAGAAGCATTTTTACCAGTATTATACAATAATTACCAAAATGTGTGCATAGAAATGTTCAAAAGTAGACTGTGCTTGATGTACCATAAAATCAACTATGTGGTAGGGACCTTGCATGTAATGTCAGCCAGACCTGTTTATGAAGGTTAATGTTAGTAATTATTTATGAGGGACTGCCTAACATGTCTGGGTAGAGTGTGATGGATTATGGGTAAAATCATAAACTGTTCTGAGTAAAGGATTTCCTTGGCATTAACACTTTCTGGTCATCGTTTTAGTATAAAACTTCCTTTTTTCTTGGCAAGGGGAAGCTAGGGATAGGCTAAAGGAAGTTGAGGTTAAGATATTAGTTTATTTATAGCTCTTTAGATGCATTTATATATGAAGGGAGAAAAGAAAAGAAATCTAACATACCACAAGTTTGAAATTGGCCGTGCACTTCCAGTATATCGGCACCATTGTTTTTAGTATCACAAATTATGCAAAGCGGGATAGATCATTCATGGCAAAAAAATATTCAGAAATATTCTTCAATGATGGTAATTATTTCCTTACAAAGTACAATGACCATAGTTTATACTTTACTTTTAAACTTAAAATTTGTTAATTTGATGCCAAGTCATGTAGAGTAGCATGTTGAATTACCTCAAACTACCTGTGAACCAATAAATCTCAACCTCTGCAATTCATGTACTTCAATGTCCAAAAGGTTATGTCAGTAAAGTTCTATTTTTAGTAAATCTATAAACAACTCTGCTTCACTAAGTTGCCAGTCTATGCCTGATACATACTAGAAATGCCTTAACTATATTATCGTCAACAACTTGCGGATCAGGTCAAAATTCAGAATGAGAGGTGAAAATGATGCTTCAAAATAGACTGCATTAATTCATAATGTTTTTCCTCAAGCAACACCAAAAGTGTAATTCACTGAAAATAGTCCTCAAAAAAATATTTCAATATCACTATATCAATCAAGTTTCTCTATGTTTACTCGAATTGAACTTGTTTATGAATAATTAACAACATGGTGCAATACAGCGACATACACCAATTGGTATTCCTCTTGATCCACACCTGTTTTTACCTGGACAGGGTTTTATTGAAGGGTTGTACTGAGATGGGGGATGTAACTTACACAACATTAACCTTTGACATTTTAGGAATTATTATAGGAAGTAAATACTTGAAATGAGCCAAAGGTGGCATAGCTGACGTCATGGCAAAAACATTCCTACTATATATGCAGTTCACTGACCTATTTGTTTAAAAGTGGTGGTGTCTGCCAGCAAAGCCTGTGAAGCTCATTTACTGTGCCCAATAGTGTCAAGTTACAGGGATGGATCATTGTACTGATGACTCTGGTGTACATATGTATGCATAACTGCACTTGTTTCATTGTAATTTTATACCTGGCTCCAGGTACATTGTAATCCTCTATTAAGCATTGAATGCATTTCATTCACAGGTAGTAAACAAAATAATACCATCAAATTATTAGGCATCTCAAAGGAAACTGAACAGGATATGTAAAATATTGTTATAAAATATTAAACTTCTAGGGTATGAGGGTAATTTATTATGGCAGGGCAACAAAGTAATGATCTTTGTGGAATAGATCATTTATTTACATTTGAACAAACAAGCCTTTCCTGAATTACAAGTACAAGCACTTCGCACACACTGGCAATCATTCATTTGAGTATTTACATATGACTTGTTAGACAGTTGAGCAAATTAATTCATGTCATAAACTGTCCATGAATTGAATGGGTGCATCAACAAATGCGTCTAATAGTGGAAATATATTACTCAGTTCTGTAACTGGTTATTTTATCAACGCCCACAAGGAAGTGGATGACCAGGAATCACCAAAATTGCCTGTTGACACATTTGTTGCTTTTAGTACACATTCATGCAGCTGTTCGATGTCCAGTTCTTGATATCTGTCAGTAATGCACGTGTGATTCATTCTTCAACTGTTCACCTTTTCTTTTAGCAATTTGTACTGCAGCTTGTTTTCCATGTATCAAATGACCAATCAACTGACACTTTCACTCCATAATGGTCTTAGTAGTTTTTTTCACTGTTCACCCAAGCAAAATTTTGTACATTTGTCCTGCGAATCTGCAAATCCACATCTCAAAAATCTCTTTTTCATATTGGCAGTGATGATCCACATGTTTCAGCGTTTTGGTATAAGTGTTTTGATTATTATCACAATTGCACATATAAGCACCAGGGGTATAGCATATTCAATGATCAGTCAATGTTAATTATGACAATATAAAAAGAAAACAAACATACCTTCCACAATAAGTTTAGCATCACAAGATATTCTACCACATATGTTAGAAGCTTGACATGTGTAGATACCAGCATCTACTAAGAATGCTTCTTGGATAATCAGAGAACAAGTATCATCGTCTTCGAATATCATCTCATAATGTTGACCACTTTCTATCTCTTTATGATCTTTGAACCTAGCATAGAGATAGATTAGTGACTAGTGGTTACTGTGGGTCTATAATAGTTATGGGCAACTATTAAAATAAGGTATCTGCATCCCGTTGATGCCAGGATACCCTATGACTGCCATACACACCACTCAAGGCAAGACATACAACTCCAGCCCAAATCATAAGGACAGTTACAGTCGTTCTTTGAAATGGATCAGGTTATATGAATAATTTCCAGAGAGTTTATTGGCTACATTGTGTCACATGTAATGCAGAAATATTGAGTACCGGATTACCAGGAAAAGTATCCAGATACTGAATAATAATTAATAAATTGCCATATATTTTTATATATTTTCCAGAAGTAGTTGTATGAACTACTGAATACGAGTAATTTTTGTCCAGCTTGACACTATTAATTGATTCACATGGAATTATGGGACATGTTCTTACCATGTGATTATAGGTTCTGGCATACCAATAACTTTACAGTCAAACTTGGCAGCACTGCCATCTACAATAGTGGTGTCTTTTAATAATTCAACAAATCTTGGTTTTCTGTAGATGCTTCTCTATCAACGTAGTCAGCTGAGAATTAAAAAACAACAATGGCGTCAGCTTTCTTCATTTACAGAATTGTTACTCTATTTCTAATTAGCTACTAATTTTTAATCACATAGTATATTCTTCATAACACTCATGTGTGCTCCTTGTACGAGAAATAGATATTTTCCTGGAATACTTACGATCAACAGTAAGAATACACTTGGTATAAGTTGTGCCATGAATATTAGTGACATTAGCCAAATATTCTCCTGTGTCTTCCAGAGTTGTCTCTTGTATTTCTAGTACAAATACACCAAGTTTACGATCTGCTAGGAACTTGTAATGCGGATGATCATCACGGATCATAGCGCCATCTTTGTACCATACTACGTTACATGGTGATTGGACTGGAGGAGCATGTACTGTTGAAAGATAAAATAAAATGTGTTATGATAGTTACTTGTGAAAACTCTTTCATGTTTTGAGTGTTCCTGACTCAACAGATCACAATGTTATTAACTTAAACTATACCTTGGAATGACAGAGGATAGATGTAACCAAGACCACATGTCTTATCTTGCAAGTTCTTCACAAATTGTGGTGGTAATTCAGATAATCCAAGCTCGGCTCCACGTAATGAACGCAGTCTTCTTGCACGCTCACCAAGTGTCATTCTGAAAATAAATTGATATATGTATATATATATTCAGGTTTCAGAGCTTCTCTATTATAAGCCTATTTAGACTGAAACTGATTCAACAAAGTGGAGTTTTTTGGGTTTTTTCATAAACTTTCTTTCAAAAACAGTTGTCTCTGAGAAGAGATGATGAAATACAACATATTCCTTACAACTTGCTGCATCATGTTGGCTCTATCAGCTTCAATGAAAGCACATGTACCTCAATAGTCGTAAATATTGTATACTGGATAATTAAATATGACTTGTTTTAATCACAGACTCAACCCTCTCATTATGTAAGTGCATAATAGAGCAAAATTTTGAGTTTATATTCTGGAGAATTACAAAATTTTTACTAGATTTTAGACAGAAAGTCACAGTAAACAGGTTTACAATTCTTTCCATTTTGACAATGTATAATAAAAGTTTGCTGGCAATACTACTATCTAGGACTTGGTTTTTTTTACTTACTTGATTCTTCTGAATCCTTCAACTCTCTTCTCTCCACGTCGTTCAAGTTCCGCTTCATCCATATCTATAAATAAATGGATAGACTTGTAAATTCCTTTTTTACAACTATTGATTTCTACTTTATGTATTATAATGATAACTGTACAATAAACTTACATTCAATTTCCAGAAGTGCACTGCAGTGTGCTTTGCCATATGAATTCACAGCTTTGCAAGTGTACTGGCCAACATCATCAATTCCGGTATCCATGACAACCAGTGTGTAATGACGATCATCATAAAACATTCTGTATTTTAGACCAATCTTGAGCATTCTATTGTCTTTATACCATGTAATGAGTGGTTCAGTTAATGCTGATACTTCACATTCAAATCTACCAGCATGTCCTTCCAATGCAGATTGGTTCTCCAATGGGATCACAAATCTTGGTGCAGCGTCAAGAATATCTACAGAACAAAGAATGAAATTTAATTTCATTAGTTTTGAAAATCCATGACTTCCCAGTACTGTAAAATAATTTACTTTCGCTTGGAATTAATTTTCGCTGAAGGAATGATTCAGTGAAAATAAAATCCAGCGAATATACCTTTTTTTCCTATATATTACATTCAACTTATCAAAAATTAGTGAAAATAAATTCCATACAAAACACCCAAAAAGTCTTTTCAGTGAAAATGAATTCCACCTAAAATATTTACAGTATCTGTTGTTTTATTAGCTGCCACCACATATATCTTAATCCAGTTCGTTTAGATTATTATTAATAATCTTTTGCTTGCTCTTCATTAATGAATGTGAGTAATCCATGGATCTGATTCTGAACCCAACCCAATCTAAACTAATCCAATCTTTTCTTTTTCAATCCAATCGAGTCCAGTATAATTTAATTCATTCCACTCTCAACTCCCAATAATTTAGTGCAATTTAATCCAATCAAAACCAATACAGTCTTATCCAATTTAATCCAGTCTAATCAAATCTATTGTAATCTTAACCAATTTAATCTATAATTCTATCAAATCTCAACCAATTAAGTATACTCTAATATAATCTAGAGAGCTCCAATTTCAAGTTTAATCTAATACAATGCAGTCTAACCTTTTCATGTCACATGATCAACAATATACACAAGTTCATGTACCATGACTTACCCATATATAGTAGTCTTTCATAAAGTGACTTGCCACGATATGCTTTATGTACAGCTTGTAAGCTACCCATGTGTGCCAGTCTACCAATACCAAGTAATGTATCACCAGCACCGTGTGGGCGACGTCTTTCATGGAATTCACGAAGTTTGTCGGTGCATAATTTTCTAGCTTTTCGTCTAGCATCTTCGTCAGTTTGCATTTTCAACCATGGATGACGGATGGCTTCCTGTACACTCATACGTTGTGGTTTTTCTTTCACCAGTAGTTTTTCAATGAAATCTAAGGCTTCATCTGATATATCGTCGAATGCCTCTTCATCAAAGTCCCACTCAGATTTTGAAACGTTACGAAGAGTTTCTTGGTCATCATCACCCAAGAATGGAGAAAGACCACTCAGCCTGAATAAAAGGTGCAAATATCATTAAAATTCCACCAAGAGAATAAGTTTTTGTTTTTGATTAAGTAGTTAGGAAACAATACACAATATCAATCAAATTAATTTAACTATTTTAAATTTGTCATGTAACTTATTTATCTTAAAATATTATGGCAAGCGATTACCGTAACCCTTTGAAAGTTGGTGCAACATTTTCAATTTTCTGTGTATTTTTCATAATTTTGCTGTTAATTTTCGACCAAACAGACATGTTTTTAGAAGATAATTGGAAATAAATTAGGTGGTAAATAGCAATTTTATCATTCAAAGTGTTACAACTGAGAATAAACATATAAACAAAGCTGAGTAAACAATTGGGAAAATTCTAGAACATAGACAAGAGAAAAAGTTAATCACAATTGCTTGGTGACCATAGTTCTAGTGAAAGCTTTGTAAGTAGACATATGGCATGGATAACATTACAAAAATCAAATTAAATAGTTAGTCAACCATTTCATCTAAATTAGTTTAACTGCTTACATTCTTTGCAAGATTGACTCATGAGTAAACAAAACAAAAACTACAGGCATAATAACTGATATGTTTGTATTTTATTCCCTGAAAAGCAATTGTCTGGAACAGACATATTTTCCTAAATACAGGAGCATATATTGAAACTGTTTTCATCCATGTGTGACTCATTTTCCGTTTTTTAATGATCAAAATAAATAGAGGAACTCTCACAAACAAACAATTTATCGGTTCAAGTAACATTTCAAATTATATTGAAGAACAACAAATTTAAATGGTAATTTACTTTCACAATGAGCAAAACTTCATGTAACAGAGTTCTTTTTCACTACACCACATTATTTCAGCAAAAATACATAAATATTGAAAACATGATGAACTTACAATATATATGCCATGACTCCAACAGTCCACATATCAGTCGGTAAACCAATAGGTTCAAAGTTGACAACTTCTGGTGCCACGAATTCAGGTGTACCAAACATTACTTTGATTTGTTCACCAGGATCCATATGGCGTGCGAGACCGAAGTCAATCAACTTGATGTCATAACCAGTACGTGTTGCACATAAGATGTTCTCAGGCTGAAAATAAATAAACACACAACATCAGTTTAGAAAAATCAGTAGAATACTGGACAGAATGAACATACAATAATCTGTTATGGTTTTTTTTTTTTTTTAAATATTATTACCGATACCAACTATTTGTATCAATGAACTCAAAATGTGATCTTTTCACCAGAGTTTATGTTTTTGCTATAGAAGGCTCACTTATTTGTAATTCATGATCCAATAAAAAAGGATGCTGCTTTGATTTTTTGATAAAAGATGCGGCATGGCATCATATTTGATCAAGGCAGTAAATGTGTTCTGATTCAGTAAATGCATATATTAGTATTCGTGTATACAAAATGCATACAGGCACTGCATGTAATGACTATGGTATTTTGAGATGTGCACTTTGATGCTTCACATGCAGGCACTGCATGTAATGACTGTGGTATTTTGAGATGTGCACTTTGATGCGTCACATGCAGGCATTGCATGTAATGACTGTGGTATTTTGAGATGTGCACTTTGATGCGTCACATGCAGGCACTACATGCAATGACTGTGGTATTTTGAGATGTGCACTTTGATGCGTCACATGCAGGCACTGCATGTAATGACTGTGGTATTTTGAGATGTGCACTTTGATGCGTCACATGCAGGCACTACATGTAATGACTGGTATTTTGAGATGTGCACTTTGATGCGTCACATGCAGGCACTGCATGTAATGACTGTGGTATTTTGAGATGTGCACTTTGATGCGTCACATGCAGGCACTGCATGTAATGACTGTGGTATTTTGAGATGTGCACTTTGATGCGTCACATGCAGGCACTGCATGTAATGACTGTGGTATTTTGAGATGTGTACTTTGATGCGTCACATGCAGGCACTGCATGTAATGACTGTGGTATTTTGAGATGTGTACTTTGATGCGTCACATGCAGGCACTGCATGTAATGACTGTGGTATTTTGAGATGTGCACTTTGATGCGTCACATGCAGGCATTGCATGTAATGACTGTGGTATTTTGAGATGTGCACTTTGATGCGTCACATGCAGGCACTGTATGTAATGACTGTAGTATTTTGAGATGTGTACTTTGATGCGTTTCTAATCGAGCAAATACTTACCTTGATATCAAGATGTAGAATATTCTTTTCATGCATATATTTGATGCCATCACACAACTGTCTCATGTATATCACAACCTCAGGCTCAGTTAGGACGTAGTTTTCGTCAATTAAACGTTCAAAGAGTTCACCACCAGACAAGCTTTAAATGAAATATTCAAACAAATTGTTATACAAGCAGAAAAGATTGTGAGTTTTACTATCAGAGGAATTTAATTAAATTTTCTCACTATGCCACTATAATAGAAAGATGATCACACAGTCCTGTCATGTAGTCCGAAACTGGATGATGATCTCTATTGCAAAATGCACTATATGTCAGCTCTCGCACTTGGACAATGCACAAAAAACGTCAGGAGAGACAAGAGTGGCATTCAATGTTCGACAGTGTCGACTGGCACAAAAAAAAATAAATGTAATTATCCAACTTACAATTCTAGAACCATGATAATTTCTTCATCCGTTTCAAATACTTCATGTAATTGCAATAAGCGTTTATGATGTAACTGACACATTATTTCAATTTCTTTTTTAACGGCTTTTCTTTCATCTTCTCCAACTGTAATAAACTTAGCAGCCCAAGTCTTGGTGGTTGTTTTCTCAATTGCACGATAGACAACACCATATGCTCCCCTAGAATCCAATGAATAGTTAGTTTTAATACTCACAAAAGAAGGAAGGAAAATAAAAATAATGTGCACTGGTGGGGAAAAGAAAATCATAAAAATTTGTACAACTGACAATTCACATTTTAGACCTCATGAATGGTTATAAATAGTATCAAAATAATGTTAATAAAATAATAGTGGCTATGGGTAATTTCCAACTCGATCCTTACCTGCCAAGTTCTTCACATATTTCATAATGATCATACACAGATCCAGGTCGGCCACGTATCACATCGTATGGCAAGAAATCCAAATCAACTTGATTATCATAGAATTTACGCTTGTATTCATAATCTTCAAATTCAGGTCTTTCAGGTGAACGTGCTGAAAAAAAAGAACAATCATATTTCTGTCAAGAATACTGTAGAACTGTTGCTATTTCGCAAGACACAATTTTTCATTAATTATGCAAATATGAATAAATCTTTGAAGTATCTAGCTGCGAATATTTCCCTATGGTCTTTGAGACTGAAAGTTACAGTCACTTTCACAAATGTCTTAAAATTAATATGAAATTAGCAATTTTCTGATACATTTTATTATCCAGCGTGTATCCCTAACGTATGCAAGCATCTCTGAAAAGCTGATTTATACAGGGTCTTCTGGTTTGCAAAGAATCAACATTCAAGACAAGCCAAGTCCAAAATAATCAATATGCACAATGAAATGGATTCAGCAAAGAGGCAATCGTTTTTATACATTTTTATTTTTTTTATACCTAAACTTTAAAAGCCACAAAGATATAGACCATAGGATGTGACACCAGTACGAGGACGTATCAGACACAATAATTACAAAAACATAGAAAAATATAAAATTTAACTTTCTTTATACCAATTCTTTGAAGGTAAGGTTAGACATTTTAAACTTACGTGTGGTCTTTATAGTTTTACTAACTTCTGATGATTCACTTTCACCGTGGAGATTGAGAGCTCTAGTTCTGAACTGATACTCAGTGTGTTCCTTCAATCCAAGGATAGTATGTGATGTATTCCTTGTTGTTATACACCTTGTCCATGTATCAGTACCCACTTCACGTTTCTCAACAAAGAAAGACGAGACACGTGAACCGCCATCATACACAGGTGGCAACCAAGACAGACGAACTGAGTCTTTTGATACATCCATCACTTCAAGCTCCCTTGGAGGATCTGGATACCGGAGAATCTTCAGCGTTACCGTACCAGTATCATGCCCAAGGCAATTGGAAGCTACGATAGCATACTGACCAGAATCCTCTTTGGTCACTTTGCGGATCGTGAGGTAAGTTTCATTGTCTGTTGTGTTGATTTCATAATGATCTTTATGTGCCAAATCAACACCATCCTTATCCCATGCAATAGTTGGTGTTGGTATACCAGAGTATGGTATGCGTAGTTTCACCATCTCACCTTGAACACACACCAAAGGTACTCTCAGACGAGCTGGTGGAGTTACTTTGGGTGCAACTGTTGAAAAATTGAAAAAAAAGTGCATCAAGTTTACAAATCTCAGTACAAAGTATCTAATTTTACCCTACAAGTTTTTAGTTTGTATTTTTAAATAACAATTAAAAGTTTGCATTGCATTTCTGATAGTAATTTGAACAAATTGTGCTCCAAGTTACATGAACATTAATTTGCTGTTAATCACTAGAAACAGAATGAGTGTAGTTATTTTGTTTGCATCTACAAATGGCTCTAAGTATAATGTAGAAATGAGAAGAGTCAATAAAACAAGTTGTATTGTTTTGGTCTTTCTAAAAAACTAAATAAATACTGCACTGTTGTGTACATCGACAAAAATAAAAAGCTGATAGAATATAAAAGATCCATAAAAATTGTAGATGACTGTTACCTTGTATGAATAGCTGAGCTCTGGATGATATTGTAGCAGCTTTGTTATTGCATCTGATAGCATAGTCACCAGTATCCTCATTGTAAACATCTTTGATTGTCAGTGTATGAATATTACCATATGCTTCAATCTTATATTTGAGACTATGTTGAATATGTCTGCCGTGACGGAACCACTGTACTTCGGGTTGTGGATAACCAGCAACCTCTGCGGTGAATGTTGCCACTTTACCACACACAACATACGTTGTTTCAAGTTCTTTCACAAAGTGGGCTGGTATAGGCTCTATTGTCAAATAAATACATTATATTAAAAACAAATTAAATTAACATAGTAGCTATAAAAGCAGCAAGGAATTTCTACAAGTCCCTTGGCTTAATTTTGCCAAATATACTGGTATATAACTAGCCTCAGAATAAAATGTCAACTAACCAACAAGATCCTTGATGAGTACAGCCTTAGACGAGAAACTTGGTTCGCTAAGTCCAGCTCTGTTTTCGGCAACAATACGGAATTCATATGCAGAGTCTTCAATAAGATTGACAACGTTATACTGAGTGTCTGTCAATTCACTGCGACTTGCACGGAACCAACGACGACTTGTAGTTTCACGTTTCTCCACAATGTAGCCAGTGATTGGACTGCCACCGTCAGAGACAGGTGGTTGCCATGACAGATGAACACTATCTCTTGTAATGTTAGTCACAGTGGGAATGCCAGGTTGACCTGGTTTATCTGTTGGTTGCATAGAAAAAAGACAAATGTTGCATTATCACTGGTAATTAATTTTAGGTATTTTACATTTCATCACATTTACTGGATTTTAAATTTTAGTCAATGAGTTCAATCAATCCCTTCAGTATGTTCAAATTTAGTGGATTTCCCATCAACAAAATTAGAGAAATTAAAACCAGGTGTAGAATTAATGAACTTTCTCCTGTCAAAATTATGATGCATTTTTTCACTCAATAATGTATTTTTGTCAATTTAGAATTGAATGAACATAACCTCCTACTGCTTATGGGTTTTGTTTTGTTGTTTTTGAAAAATTTGAAAAATTTTATTTTGTAAAAGACACCTTCAGTGTTTAAAAAGGTTGAGTAACACAATAGATAAACATTTGTATGAAAAATGAGGAGGAATACTGATTTTTGTCATTTACATACACAACAGCTGAGTTGAATACTTTTCACCTAAAATGGGCAAAATATGTGAATTTTTTCTCTAAACTCTACATAGATTTTAATCAGCACACAAAATTTGGAATTATTTCAGAGTTATAAGAAAACAAAATGTTATTACATACCATAAGGCCTCTTAGCTAATACAGACTCCATAGCTTCTAAGTGATGGCCAATTCCATGAATATTCTCAGCGCAGACACGGAACACATAATGATGTCCTTCAATGAGATTGATGACTCTGTGTTCTAGTAATGGTGTAGTGCCAACTCTTAACCAGGAACCTTTGTTAGTTTCTCTCATCTCAATGATGTAACGGAGGATGGACGATCCACCATCATCACTTGGTGGCTCCCAAGATATGGTCATGGCGTCCTTAGCTACATCAAAGCATCTAAGAGGACCAGTTGGTGGACCAGGTTTATCTGTTAAATACAACATTATTGCATCATTAGGAATAGTTTTCATTGGTTGACAGCAGTAAAATCAGGAGAGGGCAACTGAAGCGTGTGATCAGTCCATTTTTTTTCTTGAGTGTGCCAACATTATTTCCTTGCAACACTTTGCATACAATTTTTCTCACTCTGTCTTGCGATTTTTTTTTAACAAATCCCCCTCCATGATTTCTAATCGCCAACGTCTAATGGGAGCTTGCAGTGATGATAACTTACCTTGTACAATAAGTTTTGGTGAGACAGACAGTCTACCCTGTGGATTTGACACTGTCATGGTGTATTCCCCTTCATCTTCTCTCTCAATATCTCGTATTGTCAAATAACAGACATTACCCATCACTTCCAGTCTGTATCTTCCTTTACCAATTATTTCTGTATCTCCATGATACCACTGTATATATGGTCTAGGTACGCCACCAAAGCTCACAGATATTCGCACAGTAGAACCAGCCTTTGCTGACACTTCACGGTTTCTGTGATCTAGCTCAAGGGTTGGTGGTGCTGAAAGATGAACATGTTATGTTAATTTCCATTCCTATGTGATGCATTGGTAAATGTTGTCATGACAACAGTCCTAGTTGGTTTAATCAGAACTTGTGAAAGTCGTTAAGTTTGTTGCAATTATTCAAAGCTGATATGGCTCATTAAACTATTTTGACTCATCTACCCAATCACTTACTTTGTATAATGAGTTGCGCAGATGTCTTTGCTTTTCCCTTTCTGTTAGATGCTTCCACTGTGTACATGCCAGCATCAGCTAAGCCTGCCTTCGGTATCAATAGAGTGTAAACATTATCCTCTTCTTCCAAGATGTGATAACGACGTCCAGCAAATATGTCATGTCCGCGACGAATCCTGAAAGATTCAAGAACTTGGTTAACCAGAAGCCAAAAAACAACTGTTTGAATTTACAGTCTTTCACTAAATATCTATTTAGTTCTGCACTTTTGAAATCTATAACAAACGCATTACAAATACATTGACCAATCAGATGCCATAAATATTCAAATTTATGCAAATGACTTACCATCTTATTGTTGGTTTTGGTACACCTGTAACGATGCAACTGAACATTGCTTGGCTGCCTTCGCTCGCTGGTACATCAACAAGCTCTTCAACAAAAACTGGCGCCATTCCAGCTGTGGAGAGGATACCAAAGAATATTCATGATTAATCAAACTGTATCATATTACAATTAGTTCAGGAAAATTAGCCTTGACTTTAATGAAATTTTGTCCATGTGACAGAACACTTACCTGAGACGTCTTCTGCAATGACAGGTTCTGATGCTCTGCTTGGGTCACTTTCTCCAGCAGCATTGACAGCTCTGACACGGAATGAATACTCAACCTCCTCAAACAGATCATTCAGGAAACAGTGTGATTCCTCAACATGTTGTCTGTGTGTCCATTCGAAACTGCCTTTGACTCGTCTTTCAATGATGTAACCAGTGATTGGACTACCACCATTAGAGATGGGGAGTAACCATGACAATCGGGCAGTGGTTGGAGTGATTTCACGAATGGTTGGAATACCAGGTGGTGATGGAATACCTGTATTTTAAAAATTATGAATGTCAGTTTAAAACAACTTCAACACTACATCATGAGGTTATTGGATTCAGAACAACCAAAGTCAACACATGAGTGTGACATGCGACAGAGAGGTTAACAAATTTAACGATTCACATTGACCAAAAACCAAAATGAAGTTGTGCATTTCACTTTTGAGGCTGCATTAATTTATGTCTGCATAGATTATCTACTTTTGTGCACACACCGTTCAACATTCTGCAATCAAAGCAATCATTACAAAAACAATTCACATTCAGTATTATTCCTGTCATACAGAATATCAATCAATTTTCTACTTGACCATCTGTTCTGATAGACATGATAACATGGTAACATTGGTTTTAGCCAATTCTTTCAAAATGACTCAACATTCATCTATATTTGCTGGTAGCCAGCATCACATGTCTTAAAGGTCAAATTCAGTATTGTGCCAACAAATTAATGACGGTAAACTTACGGATATACTCTCTGGCAACCCTTGGTGGTGAAGTAGCTTCACTTGGAGTGCCAACACCTTCAGCATTCACTGCAGCAACACGGAATTCATACTCGTATCCTTCAGTCAACATAGTGACAGTGTACATGGTATCTTCTATTATCTCAGGGTTTATCTTAATCCATCTAAGACTGTGTCTCTCATGCCTCTCCATGTTGTAGCCAATGATTGGAGTACCACCATCAAATCTGGGTTCAGTCCAAGTCAGCGTCATACGATCTTTCTTGATCTGGTAAATTTCTGGTGTGCCTGGTATACTTGGCGTAGCTGTAACACAGAAAATAAAAGTCATGAAAATTCCTCTTTTTTTACCTTGCAAGCTGTTTTAACAGGGACAACAGTGATGATTAAATACGAAAATGTAAATGTTGTCTTTGTCAAAATCAAAACCACTATATTCCAGCTGTAATTCTCAACTGCTGATTGATACCACACTTTTCAACTTTAGCATGGCAGTCTATAGAGTAAAACTGGTAAAACACAGGTGACTGATTAACTTTTTTTGTGCAGTAATAAATGAGCATTAAAATTATAAAATATGAACAAAGAATATTATTACATTGTTAAGGAATCTTTTGGTCTGATATAAACATGATATCAACATGAATATCATCACTAACTTTCTTTGTTTAATTGTTTGTTGTAAAACACATGAATGACCTGTGGTCAATAATATTTGTATTACATGCCTCGATGTCAATATAGCTGAAATTTATTCTTTAAAACAATCACAGTTCATAAAATCATTTTGTGGTGGTCACCATTTTGGAACAACCATTCGTATATAGTAGCGGGTAAATAATATTTGGTAAGCTGTGTTCTAAGTAACTATTCAAAATATTTAAACAATTCAAGCAATGATTCTTTTATTGATAGCATAGAAGAAAATAAAATTAGCTTGAATGTTCCATTCTAAATGTATTTGTGTGAAAGTGAAGGTAGAGAAATCTCATGAATCATTATAGTATTTATAAATATACAGGTACTTACTGAACGGACTCTTGCATACAACTGGTTCTTGTCCTTCTAAAGGTGGACCGACTCCATACATGTTCTCAGCACAAACTCTGAACTCATACGCGGTATTTTCATTGAGTCTTGTCACTGTGTATGAAGTATTCATTACAGCGTTACTCTCAAGTATCCAAGTCTTCATAAATTTCTCACGACGTTCAACAGAATAGCATTCCACCTTGCTGCCACCATTTTCTTTCGGTGGTTCCCATGATAGGCTGACACTGTATTTGCCTACATCGGAGATCATTAATGGACCAGTTGGTGCACCAGGAGCATCTGAAGGAATAAAATAAACATTAAAATTGTTATTTAACAATATTCTAAAAAAATATTTAACACTCTTCACCATACATGAATTGATTGTCATCTACTTTCAAAAAGTCAGTGGTGTTGTGTTCATTGATATTATAAGAATAAGCAAGATGATGATTTGTCATAGATATGAATTGCTCACAGAAATTACATTAACTAATGCAGGAGATAAATTGAGTAATTTTATATTTTTGATGAGCAACAAGGACTCCAAGGCAATTAAATGTATGGGGACCTATCTACTTAAAGCCATGGAGTACAGAAAACTTTAACGTATCTATTTATATTGTATTGTAATTGTGTTGTGTTGTGTACGGATATATTTATTGCTTTTTACCAAAAGAAATATTGTAATTTCTAAGGATGCAATAAAATTTGATTATTATTATTATTATTATAGATACTGGTAGGTTAATACAGTTAATAATTTATTACCTGCTTCTCATAATTTTCAGAGCTTTTGACAACAATTTAAATTTAAGAAAAATAAATTATCTTAGAAAGCATAGAAAGACCTTCCTTGTGTTGAGGGTATGGAAGGCATCAAATTGTATGAGAAATATTTAACATTAATTATTTAAAATATGAACTCACCTAAAACATTTACATGGATGTCTGCGGTGATTTTACCAGCTGAGTTGCTTGCTGTGACTGAATATTTACCAGAATCACTTCTCAGTGTATCCTTAACAACCAAAGTTGTTTTATTATCAAAGCAATCAATACGAGTTCTTCTATCTTCTTTGACTTTGACATCATACCTGTACCATGCGATATTGGGAGTTGGTACGCCAGTGTATGGTACAATGAGACGCAGTACATTACCTGCCTTCAGTGTTACCACATCAGGTACAGAATCCATGTCCAGTGTTGGGATAGCTGAATAAAAAAAAAAAAAAAATAATAATCTATAATGGTAAACATCTTTTTAATTTAGTGAAAGTCATGGAAATTCCAAAATTTGTAGCAGAGAAATTTTTATAGACAGGAAGTCACAGTGACATTCTCTCTTCACGAATGTGTTTTTTTTAATTATTGAAATGTTTTTTCCAAAGAAACAGTTTGTAGTAGTTGTTGACATGAAGTCTTTCAAAAACAATGAGAAACTCTACTTCTATTTCTTATTACATGACAGACAGATGTGTAATAAATTGATGAATTGTTTTGTTCAAGCCAAAAACCTTCCCTGTTACAAGAGGAGAGGCTGAATAAATTCATGACTGTTTCGCTCATGTCAGAATACCTACCTGTTACAAAAAGAGAAGCTGAAGTCCTCAAGTCAACACATACTGCGGTGTATTTAGCAATATCTCGGGGACCAACATTCTGGATAACGAGGGCACGTCTGTCACCATCAATGACAAAGTGTACTCTGTCAGTTTCGAAAAACTGGATTCCATCCTTTTCCCATTTCACTTCAGCATTTTCATTGGATATAACACATTCAAATGTAACATTTTGTCCGACAGTGGCTCTGGTGTCATATAGTGATGTAATAAATTCAGCAAGTTCTAAAAAGAAGAGAAAAACATTAGTGATTACGACATCATAGACGGGGGTAAATGTAAATGAGTTTGGGCTTACACCGACCATAACCATACACAGGTTAACAATGTATATAGTTATCAAATAAACCATCTAATTTTCACTGCAAACAATTCTCATGGTATTCGTTCATGAGGACAAAATTTCTTGAAAGTCACTAACACTACATGTTCATAGAACTCACACAAAATTTTCACTGCTATAAAATTTCCCAACATTCACAAAATTGACTAAAAACAGTTTACAGATGTTATCAACTAAAGAGAATTATCAAAACAGCAATATCAACTATCTTTAGTGTCTAGTAACCATGCTTGCCAGCGATCATTAGGCAATACTAAACTTGAAATTTCATATGAGGGAGGGAGGGGACTATTATTAGTGGAGGTGTATAAACCCCAATGTAAGTATCCAACTTACCAACTGGTTCTCTTGCCTTTTCTGGTGCTGATGGTGCACTACATTGACTGACACCAGCTTCGTTCTCTGCAAATACTCTGAATTCATACTCATAACCATCAATCAATCCAGTTACTGTATGTGTAGTGTCAGTGATCAGTGTTCTATTGACAGGCATCCAGCGAGTAGCATGTGTCTCTTTTCTTTCAATCAAGTAACCTAGGATGTCCGCACCGCCATCATTACGAGGTGGGCGCCATGAAAGCACCATCGAATCAGATCGATATTCTGTTACTTTTACATTTCCAGCTGGATCAGGTACATCTAGACAATCACAGAAAGTATAGATACATTTAAGCTTTATAAATACATTCTAGAAACGAATACAAAATACTGCCCTCTATAGTATACTAGTGCCCTCTATAGAGTTTAATAATCTTAAGAGTAACCAAGTAATATTTTTGAAAGTCTAAGAGGTACATCTAAAACAAAGAATCCAGAGTTAAGTGTTAGATGTATAAACAGATAATGTAGCAATTAATAACAAAAGCTGCCCTTTTTTATCATAGATTGTCATACCTATTGTCTTTATTAAACACAAGAGTTCATGTGTTTGTTAGGTAAATCTATTATCAATGAACTACTGATAGCTATATAACATGAGCAATTTATAATACAGCTAATCAACAATATGTTTTGGATTATTTTAATATCCACGTAGCTAAAATGCTATACCTTACACAGAGTTGTGCATAGAATAAATAATATGAGGTTATTACCACAATACTGAATACACAAAAGAAGTACAGTCATCATGTCAACTGAGGTATAGCACAGGTTAATGCGACCCATGCTGCCTGAGTGCATTATTTGCAGTATTCTCGTAATAACCTTATCTTTTTCCTGCTTGTAGTGATAATTTATTAAGAGATAACAGGCCGAAATGACATCAAAAAATGTTTTGTATTGTCCGAGCGTATGCGTGGTTGATGGAATTCTATTTCTATCATGCGCTAGTTCAAAGTAAACAGAGGAAAGTGTTTCAATATGATGTCAATAACTGGGAACATGTTAATGTTGGTGATGAAGTTTACTCCTTATAAAGGAAAATTGAAACTGATATATTTTGGAATAAGTGTGTTTTACGGAACGGGAAAGTCTATTGTTTTTGCTGCTAGATGTACAATACTAAGTCTTACCATATGGACTTCTGACGAGTACAGGTTCTACTCCTTCTAATGCTTCACTGATACCATATTGATTCTGTGCCATAACACGGAACTGATATGCTGTACCATCAAGTAAACTGGTAACTGTGTATTTTGTACCAGTAACAGTCGATGAAACACGGCTCCATAGTGTACGACCATGGTCACGTTTTTCAAGAATATAATTGGTTATTTCACTTCCTCCATCTTCAAGTGGGGGCTGCCATTCTAAAGTTACTGATGCTTTGGTGATATTGGAGAAGGACAGTGGTGGCTGTGGTGGTCCTGGTTTGTCTGTGTTTGGGAAACAATATTTATTCATTTGTTGTAAAATTAATTTGTCAATTATTAGTAACTAAGTTCCAATTGTAGCACCGATTACAAAAGATAACAATTTTTTTGCAGGAATCTGCTACTCACTGTACAGTGTTACATTACAAATATACAGCAATACTAAATGAATTGAAACACACATGGTGAGACAAAATTAATGTAGATTTGCAAGACTTACCAAGAACCATAACAGTAATGGTTGCGGTATCAGTACCAGCTTCATTACGTGCTTGTACAACGTACTCTCCACCATCTCGTCTTTCAGCTTGTTTGATCAGCAATGAACATCCATGCTCTGTTGTCTCAAGTCTTACTCTCAATACAGTCTTCATGACTTGACCATCTTTGTACCAGATAACAGTTGGTTCAGGAACACCAGAGATTGGTATATCCAATCGTAACATTGTGCCAGCTTTGACGATGACAACATCAGTGTACTGGGATGGAAGTCTAATCTTGGAGGCAACTACAAATGAAAGAATAACATTTTGTGAGCTAAGTCTCCTACTCTCAATCCCCCTTTGCCAGAATTACAGCATTTTATTTAGACAGTAAGGTGACAGCCTTTGATCAAAATATTTTACCTGCAGGTTCCTTAGCTTTAGTCAACACTGATGGTGCACTTGGTTTACCAATACCAGCCTTGTTTTCAGCACTGACACGGAATTCATACTCTGCTCCTCTGATTAACCTGATTGCTCTGTACGACTTCTCTTTAATCACACTGAGTGACACTCTGGACCACATTGTGCTCATCCTTTCTTTCTTTTCTAGGTAATATCCGGTAATCTGGGTACCACCGTCATAACCTGGTGCACTCCAGGTGAGAGTCATGGAATCAGCATGGACATTGGAAACCTCAGGAATTCCTGGTTGCCCTGGTACATCTGAAATTGAAAATGAAGTTGGTTTTTGAAATTACTATGTCAAAATAAATAGACAATTTGCTTTCTATAACATAATAAATTATATAATTATCATTAATTATTTTGTCAATGGAGTCCGTATGATGTGTTAACTCAGACATCAGAGAAACCAGAGAGCTTTTCAAGTTTAACTTCTTGTTTATTACGCCATTTTCGGTTACATCAATGGCACTAATTTTTACATATCAATACACTCGAGTGATAAGGTGACAAATAAGAGCATTACAAAGGTATGTATTCTGACACATGAAATAAAGTAGTCCATAAAATGTCACAGTCTGCAAGACAGGGAGGAAATCATACTGACTTTTGTAATATTTTCTATGCCTATATGAACATGTACTTACCATATTCACTCTTTGGTCTGACACGGTCACTAACCAGAGGTTCACTCACACCATACATATTCTCAGCACTGACACGGAATTGATATTCCATTCCTTCAATGAGATTTCCAACTCGCATTGTTGTATCTGTTTTAACACCAGGCACTTTAGTCCACATTCTGGAAGCAGTCTCACGTCTTTCTAGAATGTAGTTGATGATTGGACTAGAACCATCATTAGCAGGTGGTTGCCATGCCAATGTCACATTGGTGCTTGTTACACTGAGTAATTCCATTGGTCCACGTGGTGGGCTGGGTCTGTCCACTACCTTGACTGTGAATGCAGCACGATCGCTTCCGGCTTTGTTAGATACAGAGATTTGATATACACCTGAATCTTCTGGCTCTGAGTTGAATGTTATTAACTCACTTGATGAATCAGACGCATCAACTCTAACTCTCAATGAAGATGCTGCTATATGGTCATCTTTCGTCCACTTCACAGTTGGCATTGGTACTCCATAGTAAGATGCTTCCAAATGGAATGTTGTTCCAGCCTTTACAATGATTGGTTTCTTGAATCGGGCGTCAAGTTTCAGTTTAGGTGCAACTATGGAGAAATAGAAATAAGTTTTTACTGCTGGCATAACCAGTGGAACATTGTATTTTTACAAATCTTTATTTCACAACAGCACATTCAAAATTTCAGGTTGACTAGGGGGTTCAGCAGGGGGGTTGTACCACTCATATATAGGTAAGATTGGTGTGAATCTGAGGGATGCTCACCTGCTGGTTCTTCAGCTCTCACTGTTCTTGATGGTCCACTGGGTAAACTCACTCCAGCTTTATTCTCAGCTAAAATACGGAACTCATACTCTGCACCTCTGGTTAGTCTGGATACTCTGAATGTAGTGCCGACAACTGGCAAACCAGTTGCTTTGATCCATCGTGGACTTGTAGTCTGTCTCATTTCAATGATATAACCAATAATATGAGCACCTCCATCATGAGATGGTTCATTCCATGTCAAAAGCATAGACTCTCCAGTAGTTTCTGTCACATCTGGTGCACTTGGGGATCCAGGTACATCTGGATAACAAGAAAAACAAGTACCACATCATATCTATTCTATTCTATATTTCCATTCTACTCTGCACTACTGTTCTGTAGTTTTGTATTGTATTGTATTGTATTGTAGTGTAGTGTAGTGTAGTGTAGTGTAGTGTAGTGTAGTGTAGTGTAGTGTAGTGTAGTGTAGTGTAGTGTAGTGTAGTGTATTGTAGTGTAGTGTAGTGTAGCGTAGCGTAGTGTAGTATAGATTTAAATACTAACCATAGTGTCCTCTTGGTACAACTCTTTCACTTTCCAGGGGTTCACTGATACCATATCTATTCTGTGCCATAACACGGAACTGACACTGTGAGTCTTCTGTCAGGTGTGTAACTCGATACGATGTATCTATTTGATCTGATGTCACAGTAGACCACATATAATGTGTTGTGTCTCTCTTCTCAATAATGTAATTAGTAATTGGACTTCCTCCATCATCACGAGGCGCTAACCATGACAATGTGACTGATGTACTTGCAATGTTACTTGCTTCTAATGGTCCGCGTGGAGTTCCTGGTTTGTCTAATACTTGGACATTAATGTTGGCAGTGTCGCTACCAGCTTCATTGGTTAGATGCAAAGTATAATGACCACCATCTGATCTGTCTGTATCTTTCACTGTGATTGCTGTATGATCTTCAGTACTTTCAAGTCTGATTCTCCATGATGACTGCAATGGTACGCCATCTTTGCTCCATTTGATGGTTGGGATAGGCGATGCTTTGTAGGGTACATCTATGCGGAATGTTGTACCAGCCTTCAGGATAAGAGTGTCTCTGTATTTGACATCCAACATTAGTTTAGGTGCAACTGTACAAGAAAAGAAATCATTTTTATGAGATGCTGATGATAATTAAAAAATGCTGCATCATTACATCAATGCCAAAATATACTACAATGTCTGACAGTCAATAAGTATAAAGTTGAACATCTCACCTGCAGGTTCGACTGCTCGGACAACCTGTGATGGTTGACTTGGTTGACCAACCCCAGCTTTGTTTTCAGCCAATATACAGAATTCATACTCTGATCCCTTGAGTAGTCTGTTAACTATACATGATGTTTCAGATATCGAGGCAAGGTTGACTCTATTCCACTGTGCCATGTGACGATCTCGCTTCTCAATGAAGTAGCCAGTGATAGGAGTTCCACCATTAAATGACGGTGGTTCCCAAGACAGTTCTATATAGTCTGATCCAACAGATAGAATCTCTGGCATACTTGGTGGACCTGGCTTGTCTGCAAAAATATAAATGAAATTTTGTTAATATGAAAGCAATTATATGAAAATTGTTACTAAGGTAATTTTATTACATAACCAAAATGTCAAATTATTATGTGAGTAATTATATGACTCACCATATTTGCTCTTGAGGTGTACTTTCTCAATAGTCTGAACAGGTTCACTCTCACCGACTTTATTGACAGCAATAATACGGAAACCATAATCATAGCCTTCCATCAGATTAGTTACTCTGTGCGTAGTATCAGTGACGTTAGTGATACGTGCCCACACAGTTCGGGACATGTCGCGTTTCTCAATAACGTAGTGGGTAACTTTGCTACCTCCATCATCACGAGGTGGTTCCCATGACAATGTGACTTGAGTACTGTTGATGTCTGAGACCATCAAATTCTTAGGTGGTGCTGGTCGATCTAACACTTCGACACGTACGGTTGTTGACGTATCACCAGCTTCATTAGACAACTTGAGTGTGTATGTACCAGAGTCAGCACGTACACAATTCTTTGTTGTTAAGATGGTACTCCTGTCAGTACAATCTGATTTTACCCGGAAGCTTGTATCCAGTGGAAGGCCATCTTTCAACCATGTGACTGTGGGTTTGGGTGATGCTCTGTATGGCACATCAAGATGGAAAGTATTGTCCACTTTCACAACAACTGTGTCTTTTATCTTGCTTGTGTCAAGTTGTGGGGCAACTGAAATAATCAAAGTTTGGGGTCAGTACATTTACAGGAACAGTTTGTGCATGAGGATCAGACATATTAACCTTAACACCTGAAATAAATATACAACCACAGAACAAGATGATAGGCAGCCTCTTCCAAGGACTTACTTTAAATAACTTAACCATCATACTGAAAACTAATATTTGAGGGTGCATCAGACTTTATAATTTATTTCTGCTCATAAAATTATTGTTATGGTATGTGGGAACTATTTTCTTCTTCTTCAAATTAGCTTGGTACATGTAACTACCGTATATTACAAAGCACAATAAACTGGTTTGTACCAGAAAGGACATGAAAATAGCAATGGATAATGTACATGTACTCTCAGTAATTAGCCAGGAGTGTCTGGGTGCAGACACTAATACTTGATCCGTTAGAGTGACTGAATGCACACCTCAAGATAACCGTCATCAGTATAATGTGTTTAAATCAATGAGAATATTTGGAAGACACTGCATGAGTCAATGCAAGCAAGCAAATTTATGTTAATGGAGAATTTATTTGGAAATTTTGAAAATTAGACTGATCGTTTTGCAAGTGTGATGTGTGTTTTTTCATGCATGTTGGGGTTGAGAAAGGAATGTAACATGCGTACATGAATAGGAGGTGAATTTTAATATTTTGTCACATAGAGGGATTTTAGTAGTATTGTGAAATGTGGTGACTGTTTTGAGTTATTTTTCTTAACAAATTAGGAATTAATCGGAAGACACATGCCATGGGGAGCACTGTGAGTCATGTCATCGATTAGTCTTCGGCTTATTGGTGCATTCAAGCTAATAATTGGTCGTTCCTCAAGTTCGTAATATGTTGGTGATGTCATCAATTTACTACTACTGTAGTTTTTAGCCATCACACTAGCATAGCTACTTAGTATAGGTCTGTCATCCCATTTAAAAATCCCAGAGTCTGAAAACACAAAATATAAACCTTGGTTTTCTTGACATTAACATTAATAATCACACTTTTTCTATACCTTGTAACCCATTAGAATCTTAAAGATCACCACCAACTTACTACTCACTATTGTAAACCATGTTTCACTGAAGGTAAAATATTTGCGATTTGACAATTTTATAGCATAGCATTTTATGAATGTCACTGATAATACTGTACATGTTGTATAACCCAAAATAAAATGTCACTGTTACAAAATTTCAAGATTTTCACTGACTTGCGAAATTCACAAACATTTGCCTCTTGCAAAGTTAATGGTTTACAAACTCCCTCCACCTATGTATACAACTCAGTGCTTGAAATTCTGAGGTCATTCAAACTCGTCAACATTTTCTCATTCTGATTCAATTATTTTTAGGAGTTTTTGTCCCGAAAATGGCTGTGGATGCCTTCTGAATACTGAAGTTCAAGCTCTGAATTTCCTACACCCAATGATTCAATCTTTCCAGTTAATTCAGCTTTGAACCACATTCACAAGCTCATCTCGACCCATTATCTGAGATACTATTGTCCATCACTATATAGGCAATTAAAACCAAGATAAGTATACCACACTGTTATTAATCAATTAGTATTGGCAATGTCCTAAACAATATACAAACTGATAACACAATATAGCTTTAAACACACTTCTACTCATAGTGGACAATCCAGTTGGAAAACAATCTTAAAACTCAGATTCTCAATGTACTCATTTCAGGTAGCAAGTTTGAATAGAAAGTAAGCAGCTATATATATATAGATATATATATAAAGGGAGCTTGTACAAACTTTTATTTATAGTTTTACAATAAATGTACATAATTTTACAGTTTTAGGAATAAGTTTATAAGTATACACAGATAAATTATGCAGGTTAACTTAATATAAAGTGCACACATGTTGACTTTGGTGCCTAAAGTTTTCATGAAAATAAGTGATGGCAGTTGTTGAATCAATGCATACCACTTATATTATACTCCTAAAATTGAAAGTACAATAAATTAGGTACATACCTGCTACTGCTCTTGGTTCAGTTGGTCTGCTGGATTTACCAATACCTGCTTTGTTCTCAGCAGCAACACGGAACTGATAGTCAATATTTTCTCTCAAACTTGTGGCTGTGTATGTGGTGGTTTTCACAACATCTGTGTTCATTCTGACCCAGTGTGTGGAGTATCTCTCAGATTTTTCAACGATGTAACCAGTGATTGGAGCACCTCCATCATTAAGTGGAGGAAGCCATGTTAGAGTCATTGTGCTGTTGGTCATGTTGGATAATTCAGGTTTTTCTGGTGCACCTGGTACATCTATGAAATATAAATCAGTGAGTTTAGTGACTGCAAATGCTGGGATATTTGACTGTCAATGAATACCATGACAAACACAAAATTAAATCATGAATTGTATTCTGTATTAAACCAGACTTTTATAATTTTACTATCCAAGTAATACTTGCGAGATATACCAAATGTCTTGAACTAAAAATCCCTTTTAGTATTGAGACCTTACACAGATGGGATTTCTTCCAACATACACTTTCTTCAACTGTCCTAGAACAACTCATTATTCAAAACAATAAATGCATATGGCATCACACATACTTGATTTGATGACATATTTTAATTATGGAATAAAACTGAATGTGAAAATAAACCTTTACTGTACCTCAAATACATGAATGGGCAGTTGTTCAAAAAATATGTATTAATATAATTGAAAACTGTACATTACTCACCCAGTATGCAAAGCAATTTTTTGACAAATTGACTTACCATATGGTGCCTTTGCAAGTCTTGTCTGTGATGATTGACTTGGTGAGCCAATACCTGCTTTATTGAAAGCACTAACTCTGAACATATACTCCCTACTTTCTTTTAAGTCTGTGACAGTATATGATGTGTTATGTATATCCTCCCTGTGGGCTTTTTCCCACATAATGCTGAAGCCATCTTTCTTTTCAATCACGTATCCCAATACTTTACTGCCACCATCAGAGGTTGGTGGTTTCCATGACAATGTCATTGTCGTCTTGGTAACATTGTCGATTGATGGTTGACTTGGTGGGCTAGGTACATCTGTTTGCATAATAGTAAGATTGGTATGAGCTCCAGCACTTACCTGGGTTATATGAAGCCATGCGATGGATCCATGCAGTTAGGAACCAACATGCTAGGAATTACACTCTCACATTCTTGGCAACCAACAATATTTTATATTCATTTTAGGTCAAATCGCTAACTGTTAATTGTTGATGGGGGTTTTAATCAATAGTTTTCAAATTTGCAGTAAATATTTAGGTTGAAAACATGTAGCCTGAGATACCTCAAGAGAAGGCATGTGTTTTCAGACATCATGAGCCTATCACATTTGAAAATAAGCAATTTTCAAAAATATAAAATAAGAATTCAATGGTTGAAAGTCAACAAAAAAAAAAGTTCAGGTATTCTAATTCCAGATATTGATGTTCTTGTTGTTACAGTGTTTTCAACTCGAGTTAACACCAAGGATACATACACATGCAAAGTTAGAGATGCAACACTTTTCAGAAACACACATGAAGCAGAACAACAATTACAACCACTTCCATGATCCTTTAACAGCTAAGCACACAAGTATAAACTATATATGAATACATACAGCTACATGCTCAAAACAATATCAAGCACAAAAGGACAAACATGCTATCACTTTTTAAAAGTTATTTTCAATACAGACAATACAAATCACACAGTTGTTAGAATTGTAACTTTATTCATAAATGTAATGAAACATGCTGTTATTTTGGAAAACACCATGCTGTCTTCACGATGGGGGTCTTACCATAGGGTGGTTTGGCTAGCATGGGAGCCGTTGCTTCACTTGGTGGACCCAATCCAGCCTTGTTCTCGGCCATAACACGGAACTCATATTCGCTATGAGATATCAGACCACTAACTGTATAGGTAAGTTCAGGTATTGCAATCTGATTGACTGGTGTCCATCGGTATTCAAATCGTTCCTTTTTCTCAATATAGTACCCAATAATTGCCGCACCTCCATCTGCTGCAGGCGCTCTCCAAGTAAGCGTCATTGATGTGTCTGTGATGTCAGACACGGCTGGTTTGCTTGGAGCACCTGGTATATCTGCAAAATAAATAAAAGTCATGAATGAAACTGAATCAAGTACATTATAGAAACTCTTAGTAGTTAACCACAAAGTACACAAGGTGAGAGAGTTCAGATGATGAAAATCCAGTTCACAAAAGAACTTGCAAACTAAGATGTCTGAATTAAGTCCAACCGGATTTTCTGTGTAACGAAAACTAGAAGGAGCTTCAATCCATATGTTTGTTAAATGTTCCTGGACTTGTCAAATGAGTAGAACATTGTTTCTACCTTTCTCAATCATCCATAGTAGATTGAACAGTATACAGTGTACAAAGCGAAAATCAATACTTACCATATGGTGGTTTAGCTACTGTTGATTTTGATGGGTAGCTTGGTTTGCCGATACCAGCACGGTTTTCAGCAGCAACTCGGAATTCATACTCATGATATTCATGCAGACCAGTTACCATGGATGTTGTTTCTGGTACTTTGTGAACAAAAGTCCATCTGTTTGTAAATGGTTCTTTCTTTTCAATAATATAGCTTGTGATAGGACTGCCACCATCAGAGGCTGGGCGTGTCCAGGAGATAGTAATGGATCTAGCTGTAACCTCTGTCACATCGGGTGTTCCAGGCATACCTGGTACATCTAATAAAGTGGTAACAAGAAAGCATTTGTAATATAAATCTTATGTGTGAAATTATTATAATTGTATATTAATAAAAACTAACTGTACATCTAATAAAGTGGTAACAAGAAAGCATTTTTAATATAAATCTTTAGTGCGAAATTATTATAATTGTATATTAATAAAAACTAACTGTACATCTAATAAAGTGGTAACAAGAAAGCATTTTTAATATAACTCTTAAGTGCGAAATTATTATAATTGTATATTGAAAACTGTAACTTTTTCTGATCTTTTAAATTTAGAAAACATTGATTGGTTAGAAGGTCAATCCACCCTGCTAGCAACCAATCGGAATGATAGATAACTCACCATAAGGTGGTTTAGCGACTCTGGGTCCAGCAATTTCACTTGATTTACCAATGCCAGCTTTGTTTTCAGCAGTCACACGGAACTCGTATTCATGTCCTTCCCGGAGATCACCAACACTTAAAGTTAGATCTGCTACACTAAAACGGTTTACTCTGGCCCATCGCATAGTACCTTGATCTTTCTTCTCAACATAGTAGCCAGTAATTGGAGAACCTCCATCAGATGAAGGTTTAGACCATGTTAGTGTCATGGTTTTACCAGTGACACAGTCGATATTAGGAAGTCCAGGGGAACTGGGCACATCTGAAAATTGAAATTTATATTCAAATATGAATATCATATTTGCTCATTTAGAACAGGGCTCAAAATTCAAACTATTGTTTTGGGAAACCAAATATTAAAACTGGTTTCCCACATATTTATTTGTTAATTTTGGATTAAATGAACATAATTTCCCATTGCCAATAGTTCTTGATCAAATATTAATCTTATTTAGTAAATGATGACTGAATTAAACTATGCCACTCCAAGGAGCATATGTGTTAAAAAGTTTTGAAATAGTCATAGAGAAAAATGAAAAAAAAAAACAGCTTTAATTTTGCACAAGAAAACTTTCATGAAATATAATAACATTTTGCAATGGTTATTTATGTTAAATTTGTTCCATTTGATCTGAAATTATCAGAGTATAATAATTTCAAGCAGAAAATTGGAACTTACCATATGGCAGCTTAGCAATGACATAATCTGATGGTTGACTTGGTTTACCAACACCAGCTTTGTTTTCAGCCATTACTCTGAATTCATACACTGATTTTTCAATTAATCCAGTTACAGTGAAGGATGTGCCTGTTACTACATCTCTGTTTGCTTTCATCCATCGTGTACCATGTTTTTCTTTTCTTTCAATGATGTAGCCAAGTATTCTGCTGCCTCCATCTGATATGGGTGGAGTCCAGGTGATGCTGGCTTTATTGATATCATAAGATGTAATCTCAGGTTTACCAGGTGCATCAGGCACGTCTGTGATGGTGAAAACATACAAAATTATAAACTCCAGTTCATGGGCAAATGGCTACAATTCAGAAGTATCAATAGAAAATTAAATTTGAAAGAGACTTATTGTTTATTTTGAATATAACACTGCATTTTTACAGTTTTAACCAAATCTGGCTTTTGCCATCTAATGTGACACACACCTACTATTTAGATTTTTATCTAAAAACATTTAAAAATGTTGTTCAATTCAATGGGTGCAATATTTTTTCATGCAGTATATCAGTTGTTGTTTTAGTTTTAAAATCTGAATACAACAACTCATTAAGTATCTAACAAAATATTAATTGCCTACCATATGGTGGTCTTGCAATTCTCACAGCTGATGGTTCACTAGGTTTACCAACGCCAGCAGCATTTTCAGCAGACACACGGAACTCATACTTGCTATCTTCAATCAAATCCTTGACTGTGAATGTAGTATCAGTGATAACATCCCTGTGTGCTTTGGTCCATCGTCCGGTTCTTACATCGCGTTTCTCAATGATGTATCCAGTAACATGTGCTCCACCATCCTGAACAGGTGGTGTCCAGGTCACAGCCATTGTACTGCTGGTGACATCCAGGATGGAAGGCACACCAGGAGCACTTGGAACAACTGAAATTAGGAGAAATTGTAGGTTACAATATATGAATCAAAGCAAAATAATTCACCAGAAAGTAACAACAATTTTCAACAAGAATTTCCAGAATGAATGGCTTGACAAATATTTCAGCCAGATCTGCCAATATCGATGGAAATTACAAATTTCAATAAGAATTGATACTCACCATATTTTGGTTTTGGTGTAATAGGCACGGACGGTTCACTTGGTTTACCAAAGCCAGCCTTATTCTCAGCAAGTATTCTAAACTCATAAATATTGCCTTCTGCTAGTTTATGAATAGTAGCCTTTGTCGCTGAAGTTGTTAGTTGTTCTGCTTTGCTGTATCGGGTGGCAAATCTGTCTTTCTTTTCAATGATATAACCGATTACTGGGCTTCCACCATCAGATGAAGGTGGTGACCAGTTCAAAGTTACTGATGTATTGGTGATGTTTGAGACCTCTGGTGAACCTGGAGCAGCTGGAACATCTATTGAGAGAATATATTAATTTTAGTGACATATCCAAGATCAGACAAGCTATTTAATACATATTGTTGGTACCATAGTCAATGGAACATTCAATGTACATGTACGCTGACAATTTACTGAATTAAGCTCTTTAATTGCCTAAAGTTTGTATGTATTAAAAAATGTAAGTTCACACATTTGTGTGTGCACTTGAACACCAAATAACCGAATAACCTGAAGAATGGTATTCTTTCCATCTTCACCCTTAACACATTAAGTCATTTTTTCAAACCCACACATTTTTATAGACAATAAAAGTTATGTTTGCTCTAGGCGTTGTCCATTTTGCACAAAAATAATGAAGGAACTAATATAGTAACTAGCTATATGCAAAATGTTGCACCAAAACATTGGTTTGAAAAAAATAATGGCATTTGAAGGATCAAGAAACTCCAAAGACTAATGCAAGTTTGTGGGCAGCGTCTACTTACCATATGGTGGTTTTGCTAATCTTGCTTCGGATGGACTGCTTGGTTTGCCCAGACCAGCTTTGTTCTCTGCAATCACCCTGAATTCATATGTATGACCTTCTTTGAGATGAGTCACAGTTGCCATAGTTCCAGTGATAGCTGTTTTTACAATATGCCATCTGGTTGCGAATGAGGCTTTAGCTTCTATGATATATCCAGTGACTGGATTGCCACCATCAGTGGTGGGAGGGGTCCATGATAATGTCATTTCTGTGCTGTCTACATTAGATATCATTGGTGTACTTGGTGAATCAGGTGCATCTGAATAGAGGTAATCAACATACAGAATTATAAGTAATACCATGTGCATGTACATTAGCAAAGAACTATGGTTTTACCAATGTGTCTATTTGTATGATCTATTCATCTTTGAGGAGACTGACTGTTATATAGTATGAATAACAAATTTCAAGTGTCTGAATTGAATTACGAACATACAAATCATAAATTTTGCCAAACTTTTCATTTACAATGGCAAAGAAAATCAGTCAACAAGCATGGGCCATTCCTTTTTTATATTTTTTCCTTTAAGATGGCCAATACAAGAAGATCACTGTTATTTGATGTATTCATTTATCATGGCCACTTAATTTACTGAAATTTTTTCAGTTAGTTATTAAATTTAGTATCATACTAAGAATAACTAAGAATAAAATAAATATTTATAATTGGTTATAGAAAACAAACCAACTAGTATGCTTAATTAAACCTCAAGAGATATAAATATCTTACCATATGGTGGTTTGGCTACTTTAGCAGCTGAGGGATAACTTGGTTTGCCAACACCAGCTTTGTTCTCAGCACTGACTCTAAACTCATATCTAGTTCCCTGGATCAGATCTGTCACAGTGTATGTCAAATCTTTGACCGGTTTTCTGGTTGCTAATGTCCACTTAGCTTTGCTTGTGTCCTTCTTTTCAATGATGTAGCCAGTTATAGGTGCACCACCATCAGATACAGGGGGTGTCCAGGTGATGGTCATGAATGATGCATCAACACCAGATACGGAAGGTGATCCAGGTTGTCCGGGTACATCTGAAAAGATTAGAAATCCAGTTCATGTAATGTCTTTAAGAAATACAGCAGTAACTTTCTTTTCTAATTTTGGGAAATAAATCACTGCTGATAATTGTTTGACAATACCTTGTCTATTCATCGGGAAGTGTATATAAATAAATCAATGTAACAATGCAGGATTCTAGATCTACATATTAATGGTCCAATTATATAGAAAATAATGCTTTATCTGCCTCATTAGGGTACCCTAGAGAATTAATGTGAAATAATGAAGACTATGCCAACATACCATATGGTGGTTTAGCAACATGGGCTTCTGATGCTTCACTGGGTGTTCCAACACCTGCAGCATTCTCAGCACAAACACGGAATTCATACTGGTTACCCTCAGACAAACCAGTGGCTTTAAATGTTGTATCTGTCAGAGCCATTCTGTTGATAGCCTGCCATCTTGTACTGAAGCGTTCACGTCTTTCAACAATGAAGCCAGTAATATCAGCGCCACCATCTGAGGTTGGTTTGGTCCAGCTCAAAGTCATAGATGTCTCGGTGACATCTGATACAACTGGTTTACCAGGAGGACTTGCAAGCTCTATAAGAATGAACATAAATTAGGGTTTAAAACTTCCGCTTTCATGTCTGTGTGTTTATATTCCAGCAAACATGTACACGCAATGATTATTCTTTCAACAAAAGTAGACAGGTATGCAAATCAGTCATTATGTATAGAACTCTATAGATAATGATTGATTTGCATATTAACTTTCTTATTTGAGTAATTAATTTATAGTTATAATTAATTATGCAACTAAGAAAATTAATATGTAATAACAATATTTCATTTTGCTTTCAAACTTACGATAAGGTGACTTGGCCACTTCTATTTCCGATGGATTACTGTATGGTCCAACACCAGCTTTATTCTCAGCAGCAATCTTGAATTGGTACTTTGTACCTTCCGTTAGTCCAGTAACCTTATAAGATGTGTCCAGAACTTCTTCAAAATTTACACGACTCCAGTAGAATCCAAATGCTTCTTTCTTTTCTATGATGTAATTAGTGATTGGAGCTCCACCATCTGATTTAGGTTTTGTCCAAGTCAGTGTCATATTTGTTTTATTGATGTTTGAAATTTGAGGCATACCAGGTGCTTCAGGTGGATCTGAAAGAACGTAATTTAAGACAACAGCTATAACAGGGTCCATAGCACCAAGAGCCAAATAATTTCCAAGACTTTTTCAGACCTTTTCCCAAACTTTCTTGCATTTTTCCCAGGACATTTTGACCCTTAATTCAGGCCAACATCATCACCAAAGTTCTGAGGATATGGTAGTTCCCTGGAGAAAATGGGCCTTTCTAAAAATGAATTAATAACTATGAAGAAATTCTTTTATTTTTCCTGTAATTTAAAGACAACCCAAATACTTTCCAAACACTTTCAAAGAATGTTCCTGACGTTTTGGTCTCTGTGTAAAAATGTGCCTATACATACAAACTGTGTTTAACCTTTGAAGTATGCTATCATTTTGTCTGTGAATTGGTAAAAATCACATGACCATATTTACTGGTAAAAGTAAACAACATCTGTTTATATATTACACTCACCATATGGTGCTTTAGCAGTTTTGAGTTCAGATGCTTCACTAGGCTTGCCAACACCAGCTTTGTTCTCAGCAGCAACTCGGAATTGATAGGCAGTTCCTTCAGACAAGCCAGTAACAGTGAATGTAGTGTCTAGTACAGCATCTCTAGAAGCTCTCATCCATCGAGAGGAGTAGCAATCTTTGCGATCAATGTAATATCCAGTCACAGGACTGCCTCCATCATTGACAGGTGGAGTCCATGTCACAGTCATCTCATGACAATCAGCAGCAACAATGTTAGGTTTTCCAGGTGGCATTGGTAAGCCTGAAAAATAAAAGTGGATATAATAAACCATTTCAACATACAGAAGCTGTTTTCACTTCAGAACATAGCACCGACTTTTCGTCAACTTGACTGAATCTACATAATGCACAAGTATGCAGTATGTGAAGTGAGTTTAAAGTGCACCAGTCTTAGTTCACTTTAAAAAAATATTTCCATACTTAACCTAGAAAAATAACTACTTACCATATGGTGGTTTAGCAACAACACTTCTTGATGGTTGACTTGGACTACTTAATCCAGCTTTGTTTTCAGCTAACACACGGTAAACATACTCATTGTTCTCCAATAAGTCTGAGACTTTTAACATTGTGGCTTTCATGGGTGTAGCATTCACTCTGGTCCATCTGGTAGCAAACTTGTCCTTCTTTTCAACATAGTAACCGGTAACGGCAGCACCACCAGTTGACTCTGGAGGTGTCCAGTTGAGGATCATCGAATTTGCAGTAACGTCACTGACAGAGGTTGTTCCAGGTTGGCTTGGTACATCTACACCGAGGTAGAGATTGTTGGCAAAAATTGTTGAAGTGGTCATCAAATCCATACAGCACTTCATGCAACAGCGTGCACCATAAAAATCAGGAACACTTTCATGCGTTTACCAGATGAATTGCACTCATGCGCATGCAGATTATGCAGCACTGATGATGGCAGAAAACATTGCACCATACATCTGTGTATCTATTCACTTTACAAAAACAGCTAACTAACTTTGATAACATTGTCAATCCATGCAACTAGTTTAATTGCATATTAACCACACAACTGAGAAATCATACTTTTTTGATATCACATATACTCAGAACTTTTAGTATCATTCTACAATCATTGCAAGCACTTACCTCTAAGTTCCTAGGAATGGTGACTGTTAGATTTCCTACCTTAAGCACATGCACATATTTGATGTCTGTTACTTTCCATGCTGTTATTTTAACTCCCAAATAAGTATTTGTCACCATACTTACCATAAGGTGGTTTGGCAATTCTGGGATCGGATGGTTCACTAGCTTCACCAACTCCAGCTTTGTTTTCAGCACAAACACGGAATTCATACTCCTGCCCTTGTACAAGTTCAGAAACGGTAGCAAAGGTTTCTTCAACAGTCTCAATCATAGCTCTACTCCATCGACCAAACTTCACACGCTTTTCAATTGTATAACCAGTAACTGGGCTGCCACCATCTTCATCAGGTGCAAACCATTTCAATGCCATGCTCGTACTATCAGCTGTTGTCACTCTAGGTTGAGCTGGTGGCCCAGGCACATCTGGCAAAAAAGAATAAGTATAGTGCGAAGAAATGAATGAATGGGCACACACATACAGAAAGGTTTTCTTCCAAAATTGGACATACAGAACAACATGCTAAATTTTATGTGATGTGCAAAATCAGACTGGACCTTAATTGAAGTTCCTAAAACACAGAAATGTGTTTCATATTTAACACAATAAATTGTACTCCATACACTGTGGGCAGTTTGAGGGATCGGCATGCATGACTTGAATTATTCAACCCAGTCTTACCATATGGTGGTTTAGCTATCCTTCCAACTGAATCAGGACTAGGTTTGCCAACTCCAGCTGCATTCAGAGCACTGACGCGCAACTTGTATTCTGCGCCTGTGATCAGTTCAGTCACGGTGTACGTTGTTTCACGCACAGGAGCAATAGTTACTTTGATCCACCTGTGTTTTGCGGTCTCAAGCAATTCAACAATGTAACCGATGATTGGACTACCACCATCAGAAACAGGTGGAGACCATGTAATTGTCATATCATGTGCATTAATCTGGATAATGTCAGGTCTGCCAGGTGAATCAGGAACATCTAGAGTGTTTTGAAATATGAGAAGCATGAAGATGAGGTACAGAAGAAGAGAATTGCAAAATATAAGAAAGAATGAAGAAGAAGAAGAGCTTGTACATGTTGTGTATCAACTTACCATACGGATGCTTAGCAATAGTTGGTGCAGTTGGTTCACTGAATTTGCCAACACCAGCTTTGTTTTCAGCGGCAACTCTGAACTCGTATTCAGTACCTTCCTTAAGACCATCAGCTGTGTAGGATGTTTCAGGCACAACTGAGATGTTTATTCTTGTCCATCTGGTGTCAAACTTCTCACGTCTTTCAATAATGTAACCAATTACAGGTGCTCCGCCATCGTCCAGAGGTGTATTCCATGTCAAGTTCATCTTGTTAGCACTTACTGCTGGGAGCTGTGGTTTTCTAGGTGCATCAGGAACAGTGTAAGGTGCTTTGGCAACAACATTAACAGATGGTTCTCCTGGTTTACCAACACCAGCTTTGTTCACAGCAGCAACACGGAAGTAGTATTCAGTGCCCTCATTAAGGCTGTGTACAGTTGTCGTTGTGCTTGTACTGGTATCTGTCATAGTCCATCTGGCGCTGAATTGTTCCTTTCTTTCAATAACATACTCAGTCACTGGACTTCCGCCATCATCTTTGGGCGCTTTCCATTTGAGAGTTGCACTTCTTGCTGTGATGTTAGAGATATCTGGTTTGCTAGGACTACCAGGAGGATCTAGTGAAGTTAATGATGAGGAGAGCAGAGTAGACAGTCAAGAAAGAAGTTTCAGATGAACATGTAAAAGTAGCATTTATGTTATGAGTTCAAGATGGCAGACCAGACATGCTGAAAGAAGTTAAGCAGCAATAAAACTTACCATATGGTGGTTTCACTAAGACTGGTCCTGTTGAAGTACTTGGTTTGCCAACACCAGCAAGGTTCTCAGCAGTTATTCTGAAGTCGTAATCTGTTCCTTCTTTCAAGTCACCCACATTGCAGTGAGCATCAGAAACAGGGTATTTCACTGCTCTTACCCATCTGGAAGAGAAGGGCTCTTTCTTCTCCACTATATAGCTGGTTACAGGTGATCCTCCATCAGAGATTGGTGGCGACCACTGAAGAGAAACTGAGGTTGATGTTGTTGACTGAACAATTGGTTTTCCAGGTGCATCAGGTATATCTGAAAAAGAGTGAATACAACCTAAATGAGTATGACATATTTTAATGATGATAAGATCACTTAAACCTGTAAGAGAGTTTCCATGCATGAAGACATGCAGAGACAGAGAGGTACTTTTCTTACCATACGGATGTCTAACGAGCACTGGAGGTGTATGTCCACTTGGTTTACCCACACCTGCTTTGTTTTCAGCACACACCCTGAACTGGTACTCAGATCCTTCTCTGAGATTAGGAACAGTGAATGATGTATGCAGGATGTTTTCTGTATTGGATTGCAGCCATTTGACAGAGAAATGTTCTTTCTGTTCAACACGATAACCAGTGATTTTACTGCCACCGTCTGAATCTGGTGCTGTCCAGTTAAGTGTCACAGAATTGTGCGTGACATTAGAGACTTGAGGGACACTTGGAGCATCAGGTGTGGCTAAGAAGAGGAAGATGTATGAAAGAACCATCACAATGGAGATCAACGAATAATATGACTCAGACACAATGAAACCATTTGCATGGAGTCATCTGAGTCAAGAAAAAGATAAAACAAGGTGCATGCAGTTACTTGAGTGAAGAAAAAGATAAGACCGGTTGCATGCAGTCACTTAATAAGACCATGTAAGAAAGATGATAAAACTAGCTGCATGCAGTCACCTGAGTCAGGAAAGATCCTACATGTAGTTAAATGAATCAAGATTGGCAAGACCACCAGTTTCAATGGTTTAGGAAGTAAAACTATAAATGATATTACAACAAGCCTTTTAAATCCATATAAATGGTAAAAAACCAAGGTTTATATAAGAAGCAGAGAATGTAGTTTTCTGGGTAAGAATCATGCTAGATTGGAAATTTGAAATGTTGTAATAAATTAAATATATGTCAGAGTTGCTATAAAACAAAGAACAGAAGACCTAATGTGAGGTGTAGGAATGACAAGAACCATGCAGACAAGTCTTCATGTGACGAGTAAGGATGCACACACTCCAAGAGCCATGCAGAGAGTCTTGTGGTCCACTTACTATACGGATCCTTAGCAACAGTTGGTCTAGAAGGCTCGCTTGGAACACTAATACCTGCAGCATTTTGGGCACTAACACGGAACTGGTATTCAGAGTTTTCCCTCAGATCAGTGGCATTGTAGACAAGATCTGTTGTCCTAGCAGCTGGCATCCATCGTGAGCTGAATTTTTCTTTTTTGTCAATGACATAGTTGGTGATAGCACTACCCCCATCAGAGTGGGGAGCAGCCCAAGTTAATGTCATGGTCATTTTTGAGACATTAGACACCAATGGTGTTCCAGGAGTATCAGGAATATCTGGTAAGTATGTGGAGACAGATTAAGTCAATGAAGAATGAAGATAAGAATACACAAAAGAAGCTTATTGTATCATTGAATTGGCAATATAGCAAGAGAAGACAAGTCATTGTCAATGACACGTCCCCGTTCCGTTCATATTTGAGTGACATATACATTCAAAGCAGCAACAATATGGATGTTGAACTGCATTCAGTAAAACAAAACAGCCACCAGTCAGCCATTTTCAACACATTCCAAAAAAAAATTTAAACTAAATTTGCCCACGCATGACATAGATTCAGTTCCGGTATGGTGAAAATGTGCAATTTTTGTGAATTTTTGACCTTAAAAGGACTGGCCCAAATGCACAGGCATATGTATGATATAATGTATGATGTGTATGTGAAGTTTGAACTTGATCTGCCCAGGCATGTCCGAGATATGGATCGAAAACTAAATTCTTTAAAACAAAATGGCCGCCAGGTGGTCATTTTGAACTTGATCCGAAGAAAAATTGGTATGCATCAAGCTTATATTATGTTTAATATATGCACTAAATCTGAACAAAATCCATCCATGCATGACTGAGATCCGGTTCCGGAATTGTGAAAATACGTGATTTTGATGCATTTTTGGCCTTAAAATGGCCATCATTCAGCTATTGTTAAGCGGATCATGAAACAAATGCACATATCTATTTGTGACATGATATAC